CATATGTATTGCAGTTCATGATGGTCCTAATAATCTTGAATTCTTGAGTGTTTCTCCTGCAGAGCCTCCCATGGACTACATGTCACTGAGTATAATGCTGAGATTTGAGGCGTGTTCCCGAGAGGTGTGTACGTCAGTCACCATTGTCGATGACCTGGTGGATGAACCTGACGAGGCATTCTTTGTAATTCTGGGGGAAACCCCTGACCTCGATGCCAGAATTACCCTCGCCCCCACTCTGGCTGAGATTGTCATTGAAGACAATGACAGTGAGTTGGCATCACACACACACACCTCTGCAATGCAGCTGTCTCTCTAGCTATAAGTCTGTCCTGCATTATTGGGCTTGAAATGTTTTCTTTCTCCCTGGCTTCATAGATTTAGCTCCATGTTCATTTTTGCTTTAACTCTCTCCCTATAGTCTTGTGTGTCTGTTTAACCCCATATTTCCCAATGTCCAGTACCCATTGTGGTTGGCTACGAGGTGACTACCTATACTACGACTGAGACTGATGGCTATGTGGAACTGTGTGCTGTTGTCTTTGAGCCTCCTTCTCGCCTCGCTCCCAGACCTTTTGAACTGACAGTCAACACTGGAGATGGATCGGCTCGTAAGATTATTAGTCAGCAGTGCACCTTGAAAAAGTTGACCGTGCCATGGTTCAAACTTTAGAACTAAAATAGGAAACGTCAACCTTGTAATACAATAAATTGTACAGCTTCTATGATGCTAAACACACTAGTGGTTGAGCACCAAATAGTGCTTCTCAATAGTGGAGGACCACACACTGTATTGAGGTTGAGACAGCTATGTGTAACGTGTGATTCTTGTCCGATTCTTGGTGTTGCCTTGGTTGCTGTAGTAATGTTTTCCCCTTCCCCCCTCCCCCTCGCAGTGGTGGAGTGGACTATGTAGCTCTCAGTGATGTGGTACTGCGGTTTGAGGCTGGGGAGGGGAGGATCTGCCACAATATCACACTCATCCAAGACGGCTTCTGTGAGGATACCCCTGAGAATTTCACCTCCAACATCGCCCTGGGGAGTTTTGGAGTCCAGCCCATATCCGTTACCAACACTCCAGCTACAATAGTCATCGATGATTCGTCGGAGCCAGAGTGCAGTAAGGACACAACTGTCTCAATTATGTGTGTGTAATTAAAGGGGCTCACCCTATTCTCTAGATGCAATTGAGGTGGGCTACGAGAGGACAGAGTACACGGTGACAGAGAGCCAGGGAAGTGTGGAGTTGTGTGTCGTTATCTTTGAGCCGGAGACTGGAGTGGCTCCAAGACCATTTCAACTGACTGTCTCCACTGCCAATGGAACTGCTGGTAAACATTGGTCATCTATTCATCTTCATAAGTTGTTTTTCGTGGAACATAAGGATTTTCTTTTTCTTTGCACATTAACAACTAATTTAACAATTTTGGCTACTTTCACATATGTGGTTTCCCTCCTAAATTCTCTTCAAATATACACACACTTCTGTTCAATCTATACGCACTACTCCTCCTCCCACTTGTATCTCCATACAGTGGCCCCCACGGACTACACACCTGTAGTGGGACTCTTCCTGGACTTCCAGGCAGGGGCGGGGAGGGTGTGTCACACGGTAGCCATCAACCAAGATGAGATGTGTGAGGAGCCCGCTGAGGACTTCCTCTCTGACCTGGCCTACGAGAGTGGGACCCTACCAATCACTGTCATCAGGACCCCTGCCACTATCATCATTAACGACTCTGCTGAACTAGAGTGCAGTAAGTATATAGCTCTCTCTCTCGTCCTCTGTTTCTACCACTTACCTCTCTTTTCTCTCTGTCCAGATGAGATCACAGTTGGGCTACGAGTTCACAGAGTATACACCACGACCGAGGGAGACGGAATGGTAGAGCTGTGCGCCGTCATCCGCGAACCTGACAGTGACGGAGCTCCCAGAGAGTTCTCTCTCCTCTCCACCACCAGAGATTACACTGCAGGCACGTCTCTTCCCCGTCTTGTAACTAATACCATGCCAATGGTCGTAAACTTTAGTTTTACAGTGAATTTTCCATAAATCATGGTTCACTGGTTTCTAAATCTGCCATTATGCACAGTAGACTGCTATCATGAACACGAATGCTATATGGTGTTAGGATCGACCCCTTTAATTGTTGGTTAATAATTACAGGAGCAGGAGTTGATTACGTGGCTGTCAGTGCCGAGCTCCAGTTTACAGTGGGGGACGAGAAAGTGTGTCACCAAGTGGTCATAATCGACGACGATGACTGCGAACCAAGTCCAGAGACGTTCTTTGCAGACCTCAGCCTCTTGACTGGGGACCTAGTCACAGTACTGCCTAATTTCACACTAATCATCATCGATGACACCAACGAAAATGACTGTGGTTAGTACCGTGTACTATAGACCCCCTCTGCCTCAATGTTTGGGAAAGTACAGAGTTAATCTTCAGTCAATCAATGTGATCAATGCATTTTCCAGCATATGTGTAAGCCCAGCCTCCAGAAGTTTAAAATTAACAAACACTTCTCTCTCTCTTCTATATCGCTCCCCTCTGCTTCCCCCATTTCACACCCACTTTTATTGCTCTCCTCCCACTTCTCTCCCTCCTCTAATATCTCCCTCCTCTCTGTTCAGATATTGTGGGTTGGCTATGAGCGGACACTGTACAGTACAGAGGAAGACGATGTGTCTCTGGAGGTCTGTGTCATCATCTACCAGCCACTATCAGGAGGGGCTCCGCGAACCTTCACCCTCACCTACAACACCACTGACTACACTGCAGGTATAGCTACTATCACCTCTTCTGGGAAGGTTTTAGCCTAAACCATTCACATAATATAACAAAGACCATGTTTCAAACTAACAAATTGCTTCAAAACTGTAACTGTAATGGCAATATATCAATGCTATATACTAGAAGGAAGGTTTTAGTTGGGATCACTCCCACTGGTGTATTGTCATCTCCATTGGTGTATATACAGAGGCTCCAGAGGACTACATCTCTGCCAGTGGGACTCTGACCTTTGAGACTGGGGACACCAGACAGTGCTACCCAGTCCAGATAGTGGACGATGAGTTCTGTGATCCTGGACTGTTTCTGACAAACATTGCTCTCATCACTGGAGAGCCCGTGATTACTGTTGAGCCCAGCATGGCTGAAATTAACATCATGGACCCTGACTGCGGTGAGGTTTAGTCACTTAGTCACTATTTTTTAGCTCTTAGCGAAGTTCAGCAAATCCAAATGAAGATCAGGCTAGGTTTTCGTTCATTAGGAGTTTTTTGACGTGAGACAATGTGTACCTTGGAGGGTAGCTACATGTACATTCAGTCAAGTTCTGAGAATTAAACTACAAGCGTAATAGCTTAGTTATGAATTGTTAAGCAAAGGTGTAGCATTTATTCATTTGTGAATATTGACAAGTTTTATACGATTTCTAACTCTTTACAGATGGACTGGTTAATGATACTCTGACTGGAGATCCCCTGATGACTGTTCCCTTCCACGACCCAACTGCTGCTGCAAACCAAACCAATGCCCAGCCCCCACCCTCGCTCTGCTACGAGGTCCACGGTCGAAGAGACACATACTTCAACCTCATCTCCGACACCTGCACCTCGGTCAATGCACTCTACGAGAAAGCGCTCGTCAACAGTTCCAATATCGACTTGAACCTGGTCACCAAGATTGGAGTGAGAACCGTCGGAGGAGATAACACAACATGCACCAATATAGAGGTGGATCTGGACTCGTGTACTACCACCGTAGATGGCGTTATACTGTCAACATACTCCCTCAATGGTATCAGTGTGAGGAGAAAAGATAACGGTTCGAGGGTGCGTATTTCGGTCCCCAACTGTGCCGACACTCAGCTGGTGATGTACGTGTTCTGTACCAGTGGAATGGTGGAGGACCCAGTGGACTGGAAGTACTACAGGGCACGTTTCATCCGATTCGTCGTCCTGCGGGGGCTCAACCTCAACGAGCTCTCTCACGGACTTTTAGGTAACAGATTCTCTGTCGGAAGGAAGGAAGAACGTTTTTTGACTAGCATGCACTTTATGGCAAATGAGACCGGTAATAAGTGTAAAGTTGTGGCCTTCCTAGTGATACTTACTCTCCCTCATTAGCTAGTCCTCCTTCTCTTCCTCTCTTAACACATTGTCCCGCACTATCTTCTCCACTTCTCACTCACTCCAGGTCAGTTCTGGAATGTACCAGTGACAGTACAAGAGTTCACAGGACTATTAGACAATGAATCGAGGACCGATGATTACATCGTGACAGTCCGGTACCCTGGAACTCCTCCCAGAAGCTTTGTAGGGCTCAAGAACGGAGTGACATGGGAGATGGAGAGGAGACCCTGCTATTTTGTTGGTAATGGACAAGGCGGGAAGCTCTCAAAGGAGGAGATTGCTGATCCTAACGACTCTGTAATTGAGGGGCACTACACTGATTATATTGTTGACTCTACATTTGCCACTGACTACAAGTACAGCCATTTCAATGAAACCAAATGCAACTCCGCAGTTTGAAGAGCTGAACAGTTTTTGATTTGTAGACTTGTATGCTAGCATGCAGTAGGTTATAGTACACTTTGTATGGTCGTAGTGTCTTGTGTTCCGTCGTGAACGCGCGCAGCGGCGCCGCATTCTCTCGTGTGGCCTATAATTAATTATACAGGCGGCTATTGGACGGGGGAATTATATATAGTAGCGCCGAACCAGCTTTTTGGCAGTCTTGTTGCGCTTATAACCCTCGCTGCGCATGCGCGCCGAGGGTTAACAACATGGACTGGCCTAACACGCGCCGGGGCACGGCACGCCGTTCGTTTAGCCGCTCATATCCGGGATTTTTTACCCTAGTTTCCGGCATTATATGTGTTCGTTTATACCGTTGTTCATTATTTCTCACTACAATTACTAGTAGGCGAATGCATGGCATTTTTGGCGAGCGGAAGCGCGCTTACAATTGGGGTCTAATCGTATAAGTCACTCTTGTGTGTGCACAAAACAGTGAGATACATTGCACAGGACCAAGTAGGCCGAAACGACCCGAGCGCAGTAGACAATTCGAGTCGAGTCAAAAACAGCATGTTGCAGAACTTTCTCGCGGTAACAGCGGTTGTCGGACTTATTTTCATCCGCGGAGGTAACAGCTCGCTGCTCGCACGAGCGGTTGGGCTGCAGCGAAGAGCTGCAGCTAGCCGCGCCGAGCGCAACATTTTCTCACAGGCGGACTATGTCGCAAACATCCTCACTCTCCATACAGGCCACTGCCAGTGCTACACGGACCCAGGCTGCGGTGGAGATACAATAGACGTAACAGAAGCAGGGTCACCAATAGCAGATCAAGCAGACTGCTGTGTTGGAACTAACGCAGGTCTCTCATACAACGATGGCTCCTCCTGCAATCTCTGTATAGGTATGTCAGTTAGGTGCTTGCAACAACTGCATTGACTGACCACTCTGTTCCTTTGTACAGTTCATGGGTTTGCTCAAGCTGCATATGATGTGGTGGAGGATGAACGGTTGGACACTATGTTTCAATTGAATGTGAAGGGAATGACACAATTTGGTGGTCTTGTTGTCACTGGAGTCATCACCGCCACAGCAGATGGCACTGCAGGTAAGCTGTTCACCCAAACGATAACATTTGTAGCTTCTTCTCTCACCACAAAACATTTGTGTCCCCATAGTTGATTCTGACTTTGAACGGCTAACACCAATCCGAGTCACAAACAATGCCGAGATCAGACTCTTTGCTGCCAATGATGAGATTGCTCTGGAATACGATGATAGGGTCCTACTGACGTTTGCTCCCGACAATCCTGCTCTCATACCGGCTTACTTGCAAATGGAGAGTATGTGAGGGATTCCGCAACAGTGAAACATCATAGACAATGACTGTAAGTATATCCATGTGTAATGTCTGCCGATTCTATTATTATAATTTTTGTCCCGTCAGTGTTGGAGATCAATTTTTTGGAGTCTGACTATTCGATTGTGGAGGGATCCGCAGAGCTCAGTTCTCCAATCATGATTCAGTTGAGACAAAATCAGAACCCATTCACACTCATGTTGAGTCCAGTCAGTATTGATACTGCGGAGAGCAAGGGACTTGGAGTTTCTTTATTAATTCCGAACCATTTTACCTGGATCCAGAGCAACTGCAGGTATTAATGTGCCACACAATAACTCTTTGAAGGGCGTATGTTTTTGCCTTATGGCTGGAGCTGGGGGCTTTGATTGAAACGGCACATGTTTTAGGTTTGTGGTTATATACATAGAGGCCATAATACAGGAAATGCAACCTGACCTTGAGATGAGTTTACAGGGGTATGGGTGGTGGAGTATACACAGTGTCTCTGGAGTAGAATATGCAACAAAAAACTATTTGCATTGACAACTCCCAGAACAATGAAAAGCACTAAAGTGCAAAGCCTCGGCGAATTGCGCATGCGCGGTACGGCTAATTGATGGGCTGGGCCTATTATATTAGTATACGTTTACTCGCTAGTAGCTCGCGGAGAGTCTGACACGGGCTAGTAGGTAGCATGCAGGAGTTGATACACGGCCTTTGTTGTGACTTCTTGTGCCTCCAAGGTACACAGAGCAAGCGGACCCGGTCGAGGTAAGCCTGTGCTTATTACCATATTGGCTTGTTCACTTGGTTTTCACGCCATAACTTTAGAACACAGTAGTTTTATGAAAATCACCTTTTTTAAAATGAAGCCAGTGTAGCACTGAACCTGTTACTATCGCTCTTTCTTGTGCGTGGTGGCAGAAAACGTGGTAACAGACAGACTGACTGACTGACACACTTACGGAACAACTACCGTAACCCTCGCTGGGCATGCGCGCCGAGGGTTAATAACTGGTTAGAAAGTGTATCTGGAGAACTGCAGGAGGTGTCTGAATAGAAAGGCAGCACAACCACTAATAGTATGCGTGTTTCTTAGTGTTCTGGGTACATGGTAAATTGCTGTAGTGCTATGGCCGCTATAGCGTAAACGTGTATTTATTGCAGTATCTATCTGCAAATGTTGAGTCACTCTTTGTCTGCTCTCTATCAGATGACGATTTCAGTGACAGTGCAATCACAATTACAGTTCCAGCCAACAGTAACCCATCGTACAGAATAGACCAGTTTTTCACAATCAGTGACGACGATATTGATGAGGACGAGCAGAGTTTTGCAATAGTTGCTGAGATAGGACAGGATGTGCCTGATGGTATCAGCTGGTTCCAGACTGCATTCGGACACACAGAGTGTTGTGGACGACGTGGAGCCACTGAAATTAGAATCACCGACAATGATCGTATGTTCATCTCTAATCGTCACTTGTCTTGTTATAAGCTTGTCTCTCTGTCTGCTAGCTATGATCATTGGGTTCACCCAACGCATTCGAACAGTATCAGAAGGTCAAGTGCCTGGAGTGGATCTGTTCCAGCTGCAGATCAATGTTGAGAGCGTGAGGACAGCTGAAAGAGAGCATCCAATGGTGTTCCGTCTCCTGGAAGCCAGTACTAATGCTACCGTTGAGACACTGATAGCATCTAGTCCTGTTTTTGATGCTACATTTGGTCTAAGGGCAAACCCCGATGATCCCATTCAGGAAGCCCGTGACCTGGACCCGGGAACACGTACAATTAAACCATTGCTGCTTACAGCCATCAGAAATGACTTGATTCCTGAGGACCTAGAATGCTACACTATACGCATATTCCCTGTCGATGTTGCTGGTCGCCGCGAGCTGTTTGAATGCAACGAAGACGCTGCTATGGCAGATAAATACTTCTGTGAGCACACTATCTGCATCGAAGACAATGATGGTGAGATTTTGGTTTGTTTTTCGTACATGTTTTATGTTTTATTATGGAACTTCTGCAGAGCCATTTGAGGTTGCTTTTGTAAGAACAATGTACACTGTTGATGAGAGTGCGGGTCCCGTGTTGGTCTGTGTCAATCTCACTCGACCTGAATTTGACATTCTTGAGGAAACTGTCAATGTGTTTGTCACTGACTTCCCAACTTCCATGTACATCCCAGTTGGTGATGTTCCTTTTGCGAGTGAGTCATCCAGCGCAAATAAAAGACAATTTTTATCACTTTCTTCCCCAGCCCCTGATATTCCTGACTTTCTCAGTCGGTATCCGATGGCAGAGAGATCCGACTTTCAACAGCAGACTGCTCTCGTCAATTCAATTGACGATATCCTTATTAGTCAACTGATGAGAATAGTCTGCTACAACCAGACCATCTACGACGACCTACGTTTGGAGGCGAATGAATATGCTGGCCTCATGCTTGAAGTGAGGGATAATCCGCAAACCACAGTTCGTACTCTAGAAAAGGATTTGTTTAATGAATCATCCATTCTTATTGTGGACAATGACAGTGAGTTTTATGCAAAGTACTATATACTGTAGGAGAGAATTTGTAACCACTGGTTTTGTTCTGCAGGGGCTGTGGTGGGTCTGGAGATGACATTTTTCAGTGTCTCGGAAGGTGTTGGTTACGTTGAGCTCTGTGCCAATGTTTCATTCCCGGAGATCACCTGTCCTATTGAATTCCCATTTGAAGTTGGGCTTTCAACTGCTGATGGGACTGCAGGTACAGTCTGTTCATGTTTTATGTAGCACAAATAGCAGTCCGTATCATGTCATTTCCACAGTAGAAACCATGGACTATGGAGCAATTAATGAGACTCTGATGTTTGATACCTGTGAGACGAGGAAGTGTGTGAATGTCACCATAACAGATGACCTGGTGGACGAGCCACTGGAGTTCTTCACCTACACCCTGACAAGGACACCTTCTCTAGACCCCAGGATTGAGCTTAATCCTACTAATGGAAGAGTTGAGATAATCGATAATGATGGTGAGTACTCCTCAATGAATAAAATATTGTGATTGAATATTTTTCAATTATATCCTCCAGTCAATATAAATGTTGGCTACGACCCAATCTCATACGTTGCAAGTGAAGGACAGGGAAGTGTGGAGCTTACAATTGTCATCTTTGACCCACCTGTTGGTGGAGCTCCACGCCCTTTCACACTTGTCATCAACACACAAGATGGCACTGCAAGTATGCTTATCTGTTTTCATCCAAACAAATGCAACATATAGTTGCAGGTGCTCCAGATAATGACTATAATGCTGTAATCGGTGAGATTGTGCAGTTCAATGTTGGGGACACCTTTCAGACACACACAATCATCATCAACCATGATATGATGTGTGAAAACGACCCAAATGAGGAGTTCTTCTCCAATATTGCCCTTGACTCTGGTGTACAACCAATATTTGTCATTCAACCTCAAGCTACAGTCACCATCAATGATGACGCAGAACCTGAATGCCGTAAGCCTTGCTTTACCTGTTGAAAAACCCTGACCCTGCATTTTACGTCACATTCCTTCAGTGCCAATTGAGGTGGGCTACGAGTTCTCAGTCTACACCACTACTGAGGGAATTGGAGTCGTAACTCTGTGTGCTGTTACGAACTTCCCTGGTGGCTCTCCAAGAACATTCACTATTAATGCCACCACTGAAGATGGATCTGCTGGTATGAACAATTTTCAGCAACATGCAAATATAATTCACTCTTTCCCATTTTTATTAGTCTCTGGTGATGACTATGTTGGAGTAGTTGATGTTCCACTGATGTTTCAAGTGGGAGATGATCGTGTATGCCACGATGTCGTAATCATTGACGATGACGATTGCGAGACACCTTTTGAAGACTTCTTCTCCAATTTGGAGTATGACAGTGGGGATATGCCTATCATTATCACAAGAGAGAGAACAAGGGTCATTATCAACGACACTGCCGAGCCAGAGTGTGGTAAGCTGACAGCTTTCCAAAAAGGTGTAGTAGTAATAGCGATTGTCCCTTTCACTAGACCCAATCACTGTTGGTTACGATCCTGTCACATACGTAACAACTGAAACTAGTGGAAGTGTGACTCTCACAGTTAGGGTCTTCAGTCATCCCGGTGGAGCTCCACGACCTTTCACTCTTGCCCATAAACACACAAGATGGCACTGCAAGTATGTTTCTAGCTGCAAAATACATGCAAATTGAGCGTTGCATCTTTTCATACAGCCTGTTGCACAACATGACTATGTCACAGTGGATGGTGAGATCAACAGTTCAATGTGGGGGATGTCACTCAGACCCACACAATCACTATCATGATGATGATGAATGTGAGAAGGATCCAAACGAGAATGTCTCTCCAACATTGCCCTGGACAGTGGTATTCCTGATATCACTGTGACTGTGCCTCAAGCTACAGTTACTATTGATGACACTGCTGAGCCCGAGTGTGGTAAGTAATTGTTTATAC